TATGGCTGCAGGGACTGTGAGCGGATGCGCTGGGCTCATTCAACATCTATCTGTCCTCTGCCTCAAAGGGCGTCAGTGTGTCTTTAGTTTGCACGCGCCACCTCTGCTTAATATCAGGTCCAGCTTCCTTTCCATTTGACCTTTTCAGATGCAGGCTTTTGAGCACTGATCAGTGTACCTTATTTGTCCAACACAGCTGATGCCAGCTTCCTCTCAGTCCAGCAGGCCCAGGGGCCCCAATCTGCTCTGTCTCTTAAGATGGTTTGCTAAGCTGCAAAGAGAGGCCACACTGAACTGAAGTCCAGGTCTGTCCTTGTTCCCTACTTTGAAGTGGGAATCTTGCACTTACTGTAGTTCATGCTAAGAGGCTGGTTCTATTGTGGTAGCTCCTTCTGAACTACACAGTTTATTCCCAGTGTTTCTCCACAAAAACATGACCTTACATACTCATTTGGGCACCAAGGCCGACATAAATGGCTGGCGATGCCACCAGTGTGTTTTTATGCTTGTAAACGTTTGTGAGGTGGGCACAAGTACCATTTAATCCTCTTGGTCAGGGTAGCAAGTAAACCTCTACAGCATTTGTGGAGCTGTGTAGTTATGTAAGGACCGTATGAGTATTCTGTCACTGTCATACAGTGTGAACACACACCACACTTTCAAAATCTGTTTAGAGTTAGTTTGAAAAATGAAGTTTGGACAGTAAAAGCTATAGAATACAGAATAGTGGGGAATAACTGGAGTGCAAGAGGTGTGCAGCTTTCATAATTTCTCGTTCCTACTTCTGTGTTTAACTGTGGTCATGCAGGAGCACTGGGAACAAATTAGCTTCAGGTAAAACCAAACTGTCATTTCCAACTTATGATTTAACTGTGTTTAACGGCATTACTGTCACATCATCTGTCTGTTTATATTAAAGACAGCTGCATGTGGACAGTCACATATGTGTATGTGTATGTGTGTGTGTGCACAATAACTCAAACAAACCATGATAAGAATCTAACAGTATTTTAGCTGTGTTGCAGGGGCTTCTTGTTGCATAAGCCTCCTGGGTCATCATCATCTCTGCGTCATATTTTCCGACTTGCCTTTAGATGTAAATGTTTGTGTTTTCCATGTGGTGCTTCCAAGCCGCTGGCAGTAGTGCTGGTGGAGTCTGACACAGGCCTCTTGAGCAACTCCAGCATGCATTTATGTTGACTATGGCTGTGTATGTGTCAGATGGAATGTTTGGGTCTCATGGCCTTGTTGTCTGTGTGCTGTGTGCGTACTTCTCTGTGCAGCTTTGGCCTTTTTTTTTTTTTTTTAAACTTTGGTGTAGCAATGCCTGGTGAGGCCTTTTATATTAATGTAGATTTAGAGTGAAGCTGTTTTAGAGCTGTTGTAGAGACAGCAGGAAACTAAGTACAGTGCACTTACTGAGCAGTGGTGGAAGAAGCTCTCAGATCCTAGAGTAAAAATAGTAACACTGCAAATTACAATAACAAATTCTCCATTACAAGCAAAGGTGAAGGGGAAGAAGGAGAAAGTGAAATCTGTTTCATTTGCCCTTACTTTAATTTGAACCGTCACGCTACCTCTAACCTGTCACCTCTGCCTACTCCTGAGTCTTGGGATTTAACATTTACCAATTCAAAATCTTCCTCAAAGACCTCAACTAAGCTTTATGTATTGTAAAATGCTACTTCATTGTTAATGCATCTGTATTTACAATGTAATACAAATATCAGTCACAAGGGGCATTTTCTGTACTTTTGTTATTGATATTATTTATCTCATAGTACATCTGTACTTTGACTTTACATAATTAAGAGTTTAAGTGCAGGACCTTTGCTTATAAAGGAGTATTTTAACATTGTGTTATTGGTCCTTTAAAGTGTAATAATACTTTTTATCACCGAGTAGACACACATGAAGTCTAACAGTATATCTGATGCTTTACATCAACATTTTTTACCACATGACTCGTGCAGTTTCAATAGATCTGTTTAGGTGGGTGAGCTTTGCAGCTTTCAGCCAGGTCAGCTGCTTCTTTTAGCTTTTGCTCAGTATGGAAGCTTAACTTTGGCATGCAAACATATGTAACCTAAACTTGGTACAGCCTGCCATATGAACCTCCAAGGGGGCTTGTTGCCCTGCGTATGGGAGCCGCTCTATAGGAGGCTACAGTGCGCCTGCTGTTTGTGCAGGTGTGCTGCTGTATGACGTCTGATTATGAATCATGCTGGGCATTCATAGCCTTTGTTATTTCAGCCATTTACTCTGTTCAAAAAAGCCCCTATTTGAGAGTCAACGAAAACCATGTGATTTCCGGCCCAGGTCAGTTCTGTGGTTTCTCCCACAACTGCTCCTCCGCCACCCTGACTACCTCCACCCTCTCAGGCTGGTGAAGCTGAAAGCAAAGGGGTGCAGCCAGCATTTATTTACAGAGCTACTTTGATGTGTGGACTGACAGCTGATGTTTCAAAGGCCCAACTTTAAGCTGTGGGCAACCCCTGAACACTGTAGAGAGCCACCTGTGAGCTCTGCTGTATGGTTATTCCTCTTCTCACGACCCTGCAGACATGGAGAGGGGGCTTGTACTTTAGCTGGCATTAGGCCAGTACTGAGCTGCAGCCTAAATGCTCATCACAAGGGCAGACGTCTTTATTTCACATGCATCCTCTGATGCCGAGGGGGTTAATGCTCTGTGCAATTACCTGCCTACAGTAACCAAAAGTAGTTGGAGACTGGTTCTTGAGCTGTAAAATAAGAGTCACACTTTATTTTACTTTAGCATATACAAGCATGTAAGCAATTTTAAATGGTTTTGTAACACAATGTTCTGTACTTGTTGGCAGTAATAGAGA